AATCCCAGCCCTCACACTTTCTAATTCTTTTCTGAAGAGGTCATTCATGTATTGTCTTGCTTAACTCAATTATTTATTTTATTGTTTATTCTTTAATCTTGTTGAACATTTTATTGGTGAAATCCTTTATCTGTTTAATTAAATCCTCTTTGAGCTTGTAAAACATCATATATATTTGCTTATGTGTTTCTTCTTTCATCTCTTAAACGTTTTGACCATCTAGTGTTTGAGTTCTTTGCCTCTAGCTTCCTCTAAATCACTGTTTATAAGATTGGTTTGGTGTGGTGAGGGTTTTGGGAATCTCTTGTTGCCTTGCTTTCTCCTGTGTGTCTATTGTTTTCACGCTGTGGGTTGAGATCTGTTAGGGTAGAAAAACTCTGACACTACTGTGGAGATCTCTTTAGTTAGGTTCTTTTTACCTGTAATGATATGTCCTTGGGTTTGATTGTATTTTGGTATTTATACCCATATTCAAACTTTTTATTGTAATATTTGAGAATCTTCTTAGTGTCCAACTTTCCTCTAGGGTTTTAATCTCCCATACTAGTTAGAGAGGAAAAACAGACTGCAGTGATATTGGCAATACAAAGACCACTCAGATATTGGCATACAATGAAAACCAATTAAAAGTAACAGCTATGCCACCATTAGCAATAGAAAAATAATCAGCAATATTAATAAAGTAAAAAACTAGTTATTTACATTCTATATGAATCAATAATAGCTACAACTATACTATACTTCACAATAGGAAAGAGATCTGCGGGAATAAAGTAGACACAAATATAGACCAATATTGACATACAGTGATTATCTAAGAAAACCAACAACTATACTACCATTAACAGTAGAAAAGAATTCAGCAGGAGGTCCAGATATGGCATCTGGTTGAAAAGGAGGCCTTTGGCCGAAGAGGCTTGGGCCCTTGCAGCAGCAGTGGCAGAATGGGCTAAGGACATAAAGGCAGCACTCCTGGATGGTATCAGCATCTCCAAGGAGACCTGCAGCTCCATCTCCTCTGCTGCCAGCATCTTTGTGCTGTAAGCCACATCTTATGCCAATAATCTCTCAATGGAAGGTAAGTGCAAGAAACTTAGTGCCAGTGATGTGGTTTTGGCCATGGAAGAGATGGAGTTCCAGTAGTAGTTCATTACCCCATTAAAAGAAGCTCTGGAAACAAATAGGTGAGGACAAAAAGGCAAGAAGGAAGCTGCAGAGCAAAAGAAGGGCAGGGACAAAAAACAGATTCCTAGGACCAAAATAGGCACTGGCGTGAGTACAGTGATGATGATGAAGAAAGGCTGGAAGAAGAAGAGAATGAAGAGGAGGAAGTAGACAACTAAGAGAATGGGCAGACTGTGGTACTGTGGAAGCCACCACTCTGAAACATGCTACATATTTATGTGAAATTTTTCCTTGCTGGGCGGAGTAGTTTTAGGCACAAATGCTTGGGAAGATCAAAATAAAAACTGACTGTAATTATTATCAAAACCAATGTTTCACCAGCTCAGAGTGTCTGAGTAGCAGAATGCTGTTTTTTTAATCAGTCTGATTATGGCAAAAGGGATTCTGAACAGCTAATTAAAGTAGCAACTTGCTGCCTCTTGTTTACTTATGTGTATAGTTAGGTAGTTTTTGATCACCAGTCTTCTTGAAAAGAAAGAGGCAGTGAAGGCTTAGGAAAAATTGGAGCTTTGATCATGGTTAGCCTATGATTTTTGTTTGATTGTATAGTAGCCTATTAAGAATGGTCTGATGGGCTGGGTGTGGTGTCACCCAGCTATAATCCCAGCTACTTGAGAAGCTGAGACAGGAGAATTGCAAGTTTTGAGCCCAGTCTGGGCAACTCACTAGACCCTGTCACAAACTTAAAAACAAGATGAAAAGGCTGGGGATATAGCTCAGCACTCCTTGGGTTCAAATCCCCAGAACTGTTTAAACAAATGAAAAAGAAAGAAAAGAAAAGAATTCAACAGTAATAGCATAGTATCAACTAAATACCTAAAAGCTTAATAGTAATGATAATAAAAAGGGAGGGGGTAGGGGAGAAGAAATAAAAGAAGTAAAATTTGAACAAGAAACAAGGGTGATGGGGGGGGAGAAAAGTGAGATTAAAGTCCAATTAAAGAATAAAAGAAAGTTAGTAGAATTAGGTAAAAGTAACAGAAAAATACAATCAAGAAAAATAAGAAAAAAAATAAAAATAGAGCAAAAGAGGCAAAAATGAAAACAAAACAAAAAGAGAAATGAGTAAAAAAAAAATTCCTCCCTGTGTTTGAGTGACTGGTTTCTCACAGAACCTGTAGCATTGAGATATACCAGATATTGGTGGATAATGTCATAGTAACTTTTCTCCTTGGTGAGACAAAATACCCAACACCCATAGTTCAGGAGGAAAGCTTTATTTAGTTCAAAGTTTGTAGAGGTTTCAGTCCATAATCGGCTTGCTCCAAGGCAGGGTGGCGAGGCAGACAGGGATCACACAGGAGAAACAGTTCACAGTGGCAGAAGGTAACAAAGCAATCAAGGAATGACCACAGCTCTTTCTCTCCCTTTTATCTTATCCAGGCTACTTAGGGTGGGTAGCACTCACACCCTTAATCCTAGCACCATGAATCAATCCCTGCATCACACACTCTCCATCCAACCACCTCTGAAAAAGCCCCACCTGTGACTGCATGAGGCTTTGGGGGAAATCTAGCCACAAGCCATAAGAGATAGTGAGTCAAAACTAAGGACCTATTTTGTTTCCACACCCACATTTTGCTCTGTGGATACTGAGTCCTGTGCTGCCTTTCCCCCTGGGCATTTTGAGTCAGTGGTATGTTGTCTGCTTCATGGTTCTATTCACTCCAGCTTCTCTTAGTGTTTGTGCCCTTCTGTACACCCCACCTCACTGCTGTCTCCACCTGGATTTATGGCCTGTGGGCTTGTAAGGTGCCTCCCTTGCCCGAGAGTCTTTCTGTCTATGCACCCCAGGATGTGACAGCTGTCCAAGCCAAGGTATATACCTGATCACAATGACAGATGGGAAGAGTGAACAGACCTTGAGCTCTGGGCTGGAAGTAGGCAGCAAGGGGAACCAAGCAGTCTGCTGGATCTAATGTCAGCAGTTTTAAACCCAAACTCCTCAGAAAAGTCTGTTACCAACCTGGCTTCTCATCACAAAGTGTGGGATCACCATCCATATCTTTTTTTTTTGGTACCAGGGATTGAACTTGGGTCCTTGCGCTTGTGCAGCAGGCGGTGAAACCACTGAGCTAAATACACAGCCACCATCCATGTCTTTCATAACTTCAGCACAGTGCTGCTTAAACTTCTCAGGGGTACAGCGAATAGCCCACCCCTTCTCCATGATTGTCTTGTGTCTGTCTCTCATCCCATCACTGTGAAAGGGTGATCCCAGAGACTCTGAAGTGCAGTTGTTCAATAACTTCTGATTCCCAGCATATCTCAGTCTTAAACTCCTTTCCAAAATGGCTTCAGATTATATCAATCCCAAGTATGTGGAGGCTGCTGTGAATTTCTTCTCCAAGTCTAGCCTTCTCCAATTCTGGCATGTGGAGGGAGTCACTTTCAGAGTAAAACTTCATGCTGTATTTGCAGTTTACATTACCATGGACTTTTCTTCCGGCTGGTGCTGTCCACCAATACTTTGTTTCTCCTGGGGGCTTCTGACCCCCTCCAGGCTTACCTTGTGTTTGTGGGAGTTGGGGTTAGGGTTTCAGATTGCTTTGTTTTTTTCCCTGTCTTTGGTAGTTTCTAGTTATCCTATTTTTTTCTTGATTCCTGGAGCTCTACTTCTATTTTCCTTCCCTCAGTTGTTGCTTTCCATGTGTCATGATTCCAGGTTTCACAGAGGCTACATTTTTCTGCTGGTCCTTACTCCACCATTTTTAACCCTCTCCAACAGATTTATTTTTTGAAGGAATGAATTGGGAGAAAAAACATGGGAAAAGGAAGTATAGGTTAGAAAAGTAAATATACTTGTGGGCTGGAGGTGTTGCTCAGTGGTGGAGCACTTGCCTCGTGTACAGGCCCTGGGTTCAATTCCTAGCCCTGAAATAAAAAGGTGTTTTGCTAGCTTTTAAAATAACCATAACTAGTACAGAGAATTCACTGTACAAAAGACAATACCAGTTTAAAATTGAGGTGCTCCAAGCTGAAGATTCAATCTGGTGAGTGGAATTTAAGCTGCAGGACTTATTTTTGGACAGCTCACTGTGCGGCACAGCCCATCCTTGGAAGAACGGCCGTCTGGCCCAGGTAGAAGTAGATGAAATGTTTGGTTTCCTGTGTCACATAACCCCATGGTGCAGTGCCAGCCAAGGGTGGATGGACACTTGATCAGACTGCTCATGTGAGCTCACTCCTCATCACAGAGGTCTGAGCCTCACTCCTGTACCACTGTAAGCAACCACTTGGTACGGCCCCGGGGCCCTCTCTGTGTTGCATCTCTCTAGCACCCTCTTCCCAGTTCTGCCGCATCCTCCCAACATGTCTAGTGTGGATCCCTGCCTTGTGGTTGGACATGGTCACTGGGGAGCAAGGGCTGCTGGCAGTGATGGTCCCTTGGGGGAGTGCAGGCACATCTCCAGCCCGGGGGAGTGCCATCACTATGGAGGCCTTGGGGCGCACCCAATGTATATTTTAAATGTACCTTTGCATTTCCCGTTGTCTATTGAAAGAGTACAAATCTGGTTGTATTTATTGTTGCAACTGGAAGTGAGTCTTGGCCTACCATTTTATTATCAAATGGTTTTCACCCAGCATTAACCTGAGATTCCTAATACATGATTGCTAAGTAAACAAGCTTGTTAATGACTTTTGAAAAATTTTAAAGGAACTAATTAGTGTACAGTGCTTCAAACGTGTCATTAATAAAAATTAAATAACTCTACCACTTTTTCCCTTTTGTATAGTAGCCTGTTGCCTACAGCAGTTAAAGCGGGGGAGCTAGTTGTACTACTTACTAATTGTTACATTAATCTTTTTTTTAGACCTAAAGATTGTCTTCGGTCTATTATGAGGAGGGTGAACCACAAAGATCCTCATGTTGCTATGCAAGCATTGACTGTAAGTGATTTTGTTGTAAGCTGTACCATAAAATTATCTGTCAGCATTGATCCCTTTTAACTTCTGATTTTTATGCTTTTAGCTTCTAGGAGCCTGTGTATCAAACTGTGGCAAAATTTTTCACTTAGAAGTATGTTCAAGAGATTTTGCTAGTGAAGTAAGCAACGTATTAAATAAGGTAAGGAATGTTGTTAAGGTCACCTTCTTTCTTAATGTGTTCTGTTGAGTTCTTCACATTTTAAATCACAAAGAACTATAGGATTATTCAGTGCTTCCCCCCCCCCGCCCCTGCACGTCTATGCATTTCATAAGTAAATACTAGGTTTTGCTAAAGAAACTACAAATCCACATAACTTTGAAAGTTGGCATTTTCCAGCTATATTAAAGTGTATTTAGTTAGCTTCTTGTTTGCATCATTTCTTTCATCTGAGAAAATATTTACATGTCTATATCTAATGAAATAATAATACAAGTCTGTTTTAGGCTTAGTTTTCTTAACCATTTTTTGTAGCCACAAAGGTATTTTCCTAAAATGGAACCCCTCAGAAATACTGTCAAAATCTAAGCCCCAAACCCAAGGCTGTTGACTGTTGAATTTTTGCCTTCTCTAAGTAAGGCCATGACCATCACAGGATTTTTACAGTATGCCGTTATTCTGTCTGGCCACACCTGCAGCTGGACTTGGCGCAAAGTGGTTTCAGGGGAGTTGCTGCCAGGGACAGTCCCAGGTCATCCCAAAATGGGGCTGGTTGTGATTTTAAGGAAAAATGTGCTGAAGTCAGGTTGCTGGGTCCAAAGCATTTGTTAGCAGAACTTAGGACCTGAAGACTGCAGTGTCCTCATGATGGACAGTGAACAAGGTGTCCATGCAGGTGTGTCTAATGCCCGGATGAGGTTAGGGAGTTTGTATGAGCAGTCACCTGCTCAGGGCTAGGGCAGGTCTTTGTGTTTACCAATATATTTGATCTTTTAATGTGTCAGATAACAACGTCAGTGCCTGGGAGTGTTCAGGGCCTTGGCAGGCAGTGGCCAGGCCACAGAGTGGTCAAGGTGCTCTGGATTCCTCCATCAGGGAAAAGAAGGGAAGCAGAGGAAAGCAGGAGGCCTGGGCAGGGGGGTCCTGCATATAATTGCATGTGGGATAAAGAATTTGATCTCACAATCCAAGGAGCTTTAAAAATTTAAATTAGCAATGTATGAGTTTTCCTAATAAAAATTTATTTATTCTGTAGGTAATTATTTCTGGCTGTAGAAATTTTTTACTATAATGCATCAAGAAAAAAAAAAGTAAATGTCGAAAAGAAAATGCGTCAGGTGTTTTTGCAAAAAATGCGAGTAGTCCTGGGTTTTAAGGGAAAAAAGTGGCACAGAAATTTGGTAATGAAAAATTTTGTCCTTTTTAAACATGATTAATATGATAATCCCTTTTTTCTTTTATATGGTTATTCTTAGTTATTTTCTACTAATTAATAAACATTGTCTTTTAATGTCCTGAATGCTGATCAAAATGCATAACTGTTTATGAAGAGATTCTAATGTCCTGTTTTCCATAAGATGCAATATACAAACTTAGGCAGTAGTGCAACAACTATCATGAAGAACAACTACATATAGATGAGAAGACTTTATTTTCCAAATGTTTTATACTTAAGGGGGTGAAATATTTTGAAAATAAGTTTTTCAAGAAACAACAAAGTTTTCAGGAGATTAGCCTGTAAAATCCCTTAAGCCAGGCTTCAGAAGATTATAATGAGAAAAACACACATTGATGAACATTAAAAATCAGGAATTAAGAATAAAGGACCTGTACCATTTATTCTCTCCTTGCAGTAATGTTTTATTGTTCTTCAAAAAGCAAAACAAAATAAACTATTCTTCCTTATCTTTGCTCTATATGAAGCGTGGTTAGTTGGGTATTATTCTTAAAAGCCCTTTTTGATCTTCAAAATAAGTTATTACATATTTAATATGTTTCAGTTTTCAAGTGAGATACATTACAGTATTTTCTCTTGTTTTTTTCATAGTATGGAAATAAGTTTTTCTTAACAGCTAATTATATCTTATTTTTCACATTTGTAATTTGCGATTCAGAAAGAGAGCTATAATACTTTATTGTAGTTTTATATTTAAAGAGTCTATTTAAAATCACTAGGCAGGAAACATATTTTTCATTGATTTTTCTCTTAGGGTCATCCTAAAGTGTGTGAGAAGTTAAAAGCTCTTATGGTGGAATGGACGGATGAATTTAAGAACGACCCGCAGCTTAGTCTGATATCAGCAATGATTAAGAACCTTAAAGAGCAAGGAGTCACTTTCCCAGCTATTGGCTCTCAGGTATCTTGCAAAGTGTGCACTTCAGTTTCTCTAAAACAGCTACATTTATTGGAACCGTTCTTTTTTCCTCCATTTCTAGGTGGTATTTTACTACTCAGAAGAACTTTTGTTAATCATAGTTGTATTTAAAGGTGAAAGAAAATGTTACAGTGAAACCTTGGTATGTTCCGACTTCCACTTTCTCACTATCTCTTCTTTGTATATAATTTAGATTTTATAATTTTAAATTTTTTATATACTTTTTATATGTTTGTTTTTTTGATGATGGCCATTGAAAATGGGAAGGAGATAAGAGGAGTTAATGGCAAGAGAAGCACATGAGGCACCTTTTTCCTTACTAAGAGCTGACCAGTGCATAAATCTTCCTTTGCCCCAACAAAAGTGGTTAACTGAAGGGTGTACGCTCCCCTTGCACATGACATACAAACATACATGACTGTGTAATGGGACCAGTTGGTCTGTGTCACATAGGACCGGGTGACCGTCTTAGAGGGTTCAGAGGTGTAGTATTTCAGTTCACTTTCTTTCTCCCCATGTGAGAGCAGCCTGAGCCCTATGTGGAACACATTGGCTGTGCAGGGTTACCTTTGGGCCATCGACCCCTTCCAGGAGTCATGTAGATTATCTACTTTCATCCAGTTCTATTTGGATTTTCTTCCCAAGTTATTTACATTTTGTCTGAGTGCTCTTGAGATGTGAAGATCCAGAAATACATCTGAAAGAATAAGGAAACAAAGGACAGATTTCATTTGAAAAAGCATATATTATGTCTTTAGAAGTATTTGTTCATAATTGACAGCTGGCTTTTGCCAGGAACACTTCTAAGAGTGTATAGGTAAGGAATAATTTTATGCAGAGTAATCCAAGATATTAAAAATCCTTTGACAGTAGAAACAATGTTTATTATCAAAGAGAAGACTCAGCACAGAGAACCAAAGAGTGTAGATGCTTAGTGGAATGGCATTTAGTGTTCCCCAGAATGTGACTTGTAGGCTGGCGTCCACATCACCTGGCAGCGTGTTAGGATGAAGCCACTCAGGCACCACTCCATACTGTGGACTCTATGCTGCAAGGTCCCAGATGCCTCTGTGTGTGCGATGCAGTTCAAAAGCGAAAAAACTGCATTTCACTCTACAAATGGGCTTGCTTTAGAAAGTGGTAATGATCTGTCTGACTTGTGTGGCTGCTTGGTTAACCTAAGATCTTAGTCATGGGAACAGCTTGAGGTGTCCTCTAATCTAATCTCCTCCTTTTACAGATGAGGACTCTGAGACTGAGAGCAGTAGAGCAACTTTCCTAAGGTCACAGCTCATAGCTGACAGAGCTGGAATTAGAACACAGGCATGCTGACTCTCAGTCCTGCCTTCCTTTTGATAGTGTTTAGTGGAAACGTGTCTGTCCCTGCTAAGCTTCAAAGGATAAGAGGTATAGTCAACATTGGCAGAGGATTTCCTTCCTGATTGAGTAATTAGGTTATTCTCATGTTCAACATATTTAGAGCAAAGAAGACTTAATAGGAAAGTTAAGATTTTTCTTCTTTTCGTCTAAACATTATAAAATATAAAGCTAACTTTGTTAGTTGTTATCTTTCAGCTACAAGAAATGTTTAAATACCTGTAATCCCAGCACTCTGGGAAGCTGAGGCAGGAAAATTGCAAGTTCAAACCCAGCCTGTGTTCAATCTCCAGTACCCTCCTCCTGCCAATAAAGATAGAAATTATATAAGTTCAACTGTAGACCTTCCTCTAGATTTTAAACCTACTTACATTGCTTTAATCATCATTACATTTTCATCAGTTTAGATTTTTTGTCAGAGCACACTGAAAATACAGAGTTTTGAAGTATTTTTTTCATTCAAGTACAGAAGAAAATAATGTAAAAGTATTAAGAAAATTTATGCTGTATCTACCACTGAGAAATGTGATTCGGGAGCTTAACTTTTTTGTGTGTGTGGAAGCCCAATTTTTATTCTCAACTTCTTTTTTTGTGTGTGTACTGGGATCAAACTCGGGACCTTGTACTTGTGAGGCAGGCCCCAGAACCACTGAGCTAAATCCCCAGACCCCAGTTTTGTTTTTTTTTTGGTACCGGGGATTAAACTCGGGACCTTGTGCTTGCAAGGCAGGCAGTGGAACCACTGAGCTAAATCACCAGTCCCTCAGACCCCAGTTTTTAACAACAGTAAATAGGAGAAAGGAGTTCAAAAATATGTTATTTTGTAGTAATAGAAAAAAATGGCAAAAAATATTTATTTAACTTACTGTTATACAAGTGGCTTATTAGAGTTATTACTACAGCTAATTGTACTGTTAGTTATTGTTCAGTGTTGATTGAGGCCGCAAGGATGCAGCCATTTCTTACAAGTTCTATTTCATGTGAGGTAGACTTTAATTCAAACTCCAGGTTTATATAACAAATGCAGTTGAAATTCTCAACTTTCAACTTGATGACACTTGTGTAACACACAGGTCAATCCCAGCATGTCTAACTGTGGGTGTCAGAAAATTCTAGGTTACTTCTGGGAATGTTTTTACAAGAAAACTGGTAAGAACAGTGGCTGGTCTGTAGAGAGTAGCCCTTGAGGCCTGAGAGAAAGGGTGTTTCCCCGGTCGCTTTCACAGTGACAAGTGCCACAGCCAGAAAGTCCTGTCCAAAGGCCTTGTGCTAGGCAGATCACAAGGATGCCAGCGTAGATTGAGCTCATGGGGTCACCAAGCCAGGTGGCAAAGGAAGAAACAGAGCCCCTGGCCCGTCAGTGACAGGTCCTCTGGGAAAGCCAGTGCCGCTGAGGGTGTCAGGCATGAGGTCTCAGGCGCTAGGGCTGGCCTGGTACACTTGGGGTCTGGAATGGAGCGACACTAGACCTCCAGGCTGGAGGAGCCTAACTCTTAATGGAGCTTGTTTCTGCACTCCCTGTCAAAGACCACAAACTAGATGGTGAAATTCACCAAATGGTGAAAAAAATTCACATAAATGATAGAGGCTCAGACCAAGTATACGTCTAATTTTCAGGGTATATAATATTTATACTCCTGAGATTACAACTAGAGATGGGTGAGAATTGAGAGTGCTTAAAAGTTACATTTAAGTGAATTCCAAAAAGCTTTTTTCTTAATCAGCTTTTCTAAAAATAAGTTCTTGTGCACTTGTTTGACTATAAAACACAGTGAGTGAAGAATATAGAACTATATAATAGCACTGAGCGTTTTGCCTTCATTACACTCAACATTTACTGATTGCTTTTAATAGTTAGGAACATTCCCTCAAGGAGCATACACTTTGGTTGTGGAGACAGAAATAAAGCAGATAATTCCAGTAGAAGCTGCGGTAGGAGCATGGTTCTAGATGCTACTGTGTGATTTTTCGTAATTGTTTGCTCTGGGACTTCCAGCTGTTGTCTGTGACTGTTCACAGTCTGCATTGTTAATATTGTGTTATTTGGTGTAAAATACAGAAACCTTGCAAGTGTATAGGTCCATTGAGCCCCGATAGCAGCATCCTTTATGCTATGGCTGTGGATTATCTCTGCCGACTTTACAAACCCTGGAGATAATGTTGCACCGTTGCTTACACCTGAATGGGCATCATCTCATCTTACTTTGGAAGCTGTGTGTGTTCATCTCACCCTCCAGATAGGCTGTGAGGAGCCCATGATGTGCAGGTGCTGTGATTGTCCTCACTTCATTGGTGAGGAACTTGAGGCACAAAGAGGCTAAGCTCCTTCGTGTCACACAGCTAGAAAGTGGCATGGATTTGAGCCCATGTTTGATTGCACTTGCATTCTTTTTTTTGGTGTTTTTTTTTTTTGGTGCCGGGGATTGAACTCAGGACCTTGGGCTTGCAAAGCAGGTGGTGGAACCACTGAGCTAAATCCCCAGCCCCTCCACTTACATTGTTAACCACCCTTACAGTATCTGATTTAAAAGTGTTATCAGAGGAACACAGGAGAGAATGCTTGGTTAACAGGTTTAGGAATATTTCATTGAAAAGTGATCCTTTCGCTATTTGCTAATTCAGTAAGGGAAAAAAGTGGATGGAACAAAAGGCCCCTGAGGAGGAAGAACATTGTAAGTGGAGCAGCTGTGTGTCAGCGGTAGAAGTACCAGTGTGTAGCCTCTGGGAGCTGCTAGCAACCTCTGGTAACCAGTAGAATGGTTGAAAACGAGGCTGGTAACAGGTTGGATTCTGATTTGTCTTGCATATGTGCAGAAACTAAGGGCATAGAAATCATGAGGCTTGGACACTTGTAATTCCGGGACTGTGAACCAGTTTGCATATTTACTAGAACATCGCCTCATTTACAAAATATGTTCAGTATAGGCAGTAACATACTGTCAGCATTAACTGTGCATTTTGGTTCACGAAACAGGATTTTATGAGCGTTTATATTGTCACATAGAAATCTGGGTTGCTAAGGATAATATCTTGACTTTTGATCTGGAAGGAAACAATAAACTATAACTTAAATAGGTTATTACATTTTTTTTAAACACTTTTTAAAATAATCAGCTCCCCTTTACTCATTTCTTTTCTGGTTTTAAACATTTTTTTACAAACTTAAAATTTCCTGTGTTTTTTTCTGATTTGCATACTGTCTAACTATTTATACGAATCTGAGGGTGTGTATTTGACCTGTGACCGGTTGCTCTCAGGCAGTTTCTCTCAATTTATTTCTTTTTAGTGTTGTAGGTACTGTTTATTTAATTGTGCTTAGCATATGATTGGGCCCTGTACTTTTTCTTTTGCTTTTTTAAAAAGTTTTATTTTTACGGCTACATGTTTACAGTTCTGGTGATTGCATTCGTTGTAGGGAGTCGGTACATGCACATAATGCGACTTAACTCCTCTTATGTCCCTTGCCCTTTCCTCCCTCCCTGCCTGTGGCTTGCTCCAATTCTGACTCTGTTCCCTCTTTTCAAGGAGGATGCTGCTCATCGATTTGGATGTCTGTCTTCTTCACAAGTCTAGTCGATCAGTGAAAGGGGCCCAGGGAGCTCTTAGATCAGGTATGAGCACGAGAGCCTGTGAACAGCCTGCACACACTGTGTTCTCTGTGTTTTATGTTAGGCTGCAGAACAGGCCAAAGCAAGCCCAGCTCTCATAGCCAAGGATCCTGGAACTGTGGCTAACAAAAAAGAAGAAGAAGATTTAGCAAAAGGTGGGTTTTTAACTCTGTGATGGGGGAAGAAGACAAGTTCCTAACTGAGTGTTATTTCCCTGAGATTTTAAAGGTAAAGATAGGACTTCACAGCTGAAGCAGAAATCTCCTTGGCTCCCCTCCTGGTGTCGTTTCTCTCCGCTCCTCTGCAGAGGCACCTGCTGTGTCCTATTCCCATGTACGAATGTAGCATGCTTGTTCTGTCCTCCTGTGGGCATTTGTGGTGCTTCTGGTTTTTTTCTGTGTAACAAGTAGTGTTGGGACGAGCCTTGTACATGTTCTTTGTGAATACAGGTGTGAGTTTATTATGGTATTGCTGGATCATGGGATAGGTGTATCTTCAACTTTGATAAATGCTTATATGACTTTTTTCTTCCATCAGCAATGTGTGGAAGCTATTACCATTATGACTTTAATCTGACAATGCTTGGTATTGTTAAATTTTTCTGAATCTGATAGGTTCAAAATAATATTCAACTATTTTTATTTTTTATTTCCATGACTATTTGTGAGGTTGAGTCCTTTTTTTGTGTATATTGGCTGTTCTGATCACCTCAGGTGACTTGTCTTTTTTTATTGTGCCTTTATTTTAATGGTAATTTGTGCAAGTCTTTGTTTTGGATATTAATCTGTTACTGTTATTCCTATTGTAAAATCCTTACCAGAGTTGTTGTCCTGTGTTTTAGCTTTGATAATAGTGTGCTCCCTCCATCAAATAGAAGTGTTCAGGGCGGAAAGCAGTAGCTCAGTGGTTAAGCACCTGCTCAGCCTGCAGTGACCCTAGGCTCCGTCTCCAGGAACCGCCACCGCCAAAACATTTAAAATTGTGGTATCAAAAGTTTGGCTTTTTTTGCTGTTTTACTTTTGTGTTTCCTATATTCTCATAGTAGACTTTTTTTTGGTACCGGGGATCGAACTCGGGACCTTGCACTTGAGAGGCAGGCCCCGGAACCACTGAGCTAAATCCCCAGCCTTCCTATAGTCTCATGGTGAGGGAGATGGAGGGAGAGGCATTTGAGAGGATTTCTTAGATGAGTCTTTCAACTGATTACCAGCAGTTACCTTTGTGACTATAGAACTCAGGTTCTCAGACAATTCTTTTACGATTCTTATTCGGTAAATCAGCAGGCGGGTGTGGACCTCTTGATTCCCAGGTGATTTTGATTATCATTTTGTGAATTTAAACTCTATGTATACTTTAAAATGATGAAAGAAAATACAAAATGTCTGCTATTTAAAAGAAGTGCCTAAGAGTTTATTTTTATTACTTAGAATAAATTATATCTGTTCATAAAAATCATGTTTTATTAATTTATTTTTAAACTTTCAATTAAAAATAAATGAATACAATTGCCAAAATGATTTTTGTTCACTATATTGTATCAGGATATATCCAAGTTTCCTGTTGGAGTTGAAAGACTATTACGTTTTTTTTGGTACCAGGGATCGAACTTGGGCCCTTGTGCTTGCGCAGCAGGCGGCGAAACCACTGAGCTAAATCCCCGGCTCTAAAGACTATTACCTTTTAATGTTGAGATTCCTGTTTGTACTTCTTTGCATTGTTGGTGAAATGAGGGTTTTGGGTTATTTTCCAGCCATCGAGTTGTCTCTCAAGGAGCAAAGGCAGCAGACCACTACCCTTTCCACTCTGTATCCAAGCACATCCAACCTTTTAACCAACCACCAACATGACGGTCGGAAAGTTCGTGCCATATATGACTTTGAAGCTGCTGAAGATAATGAACTTACTTTTAAAGCTGGAGAAATTATCACAGTTCTTGATGACAGGTAATGGTGAATTATAAATTGAACATTTGTGAAAAATTTAAGTTTCACCTTATTTTTATTGAATGTAGTGACCAAATGTAATCAAAATATTGACTAGATGTTTTCTCAGAATAGCCGTTGATTTGCTTGTGTTGTACTGAGTAGATTCTTATTTTGTGGGGTTTTTTTCTTTCTTATATTATTTAAATAGTTTTTTTATTTGTTTTGGAGGTCCAGTTTTATCTTTTCATTTTTGGTTTCATCTAATATAAATTGTTAAGTCAATTAGGCTAAATTTTAGAAAGCATACTGAATTTTAGCAATGCATAGTCTTTTGATTTTATTTATACAGAACAATATCAATATGTGGAAGAGAACGTTACATGAAATTATACATTTATGTTATCATAAAGGAAGGGGTCCAGTCCATTGGTTTTGTTTTTAAGGTACAACTCTGTGATCTTGTACTTATAAATGAATTATTACAGATTATTATTACTAATGATGAAGTACTGAGCTTTGCAACTGGTTTTAAAAAATAAATTCAAATTGATTTAAGATTATTTTTATAGTATCACTTACTGTGTTTATCCTGCTGGACTGCTGTAACAAACTGCTGTAGACAAGGTGGTTTTAGGACCCTCTTCTTGTCATAGGCAGCAGGGCAGTCCCTGCTTGCACATGGCACTCTCTCAAGTCTCCATAATGTCACTGCTTCCATTCAAGAAAGTTTGCCTTCGTGACCAGACCAACTTCCAGAGGCCCTGCCTCCCACTAGAATTGTGAGGTAATCCTAATCAGGACAAATATGCAGACCCCAGCACTTATATTTTAATATGTTTTCTTGAACGAGAAAAAAAATAACAGATGTAAAGTTAGAGCTGGTCAACTGGTAATTGCACAAAACCTTGGTCATGCATTCTTTGATACAGTATCCACGGAGTGCTTGCTAGCTTTCCGTGTACTGGGCACTAGGGACACAGTGGTAAAATAAACGTGTGTACACTCCTTTTGAGTGTTATATGCTAAGAATGGTGTCCTCTGTCATACGTATTCTGTTTGGAGAAAAAGCCTTGCTAATGTGTACTATAAGAGCAGCAGTTTAGGAATGAAGGTTTATGTTAAAAGCCTGCCATTACATCTGCGCTGAAGCCTGTGGACTACCTAATGTTGACAATTTTTAAGCATAAAGGCCTCTTTTAAAAGAGAATTCACAGCTTTTTATTAGATTCTCAAAGCATTCGCTAGCTTTCAAGGAGAGAGAGAACTATGTAGTAGCTTTTTATCTCTGAGGACTCGCTTCTTACTTGTAATGTACACTCACTGGCTCCTTTACTGCGTTGTGGTGGGATTCCAATCTGGTGCTAAGTTATATATATCAAAGAAAGATTTATAGAAATAAAAGCTTATAGGCATCTTTAAAACTTTTTTAAAATTTTTACTTATTTATCTTTTTGGTTTTTTGAGACAGGCTCTTGCTATGTAGTTCAGACTGGCCTTGAACTCATGGCCTCCTGCCTCAGCCTCCCAAGTGCTGGGATTACAGGTGTGCACCACCACCACGCCCGATGATAGAAATCCTTTTGTTTTTCAGTAAACTGTTCCTTTTTGTTCATCATAGTGATCCAAACTGGTGGAAAGGTGAAACCCATCAGGGCATCGGGTTATTTCCCTCTAATTTTGTAACTGCGGATCTCACTGCTGAACCGGAAATGAGTAAGTATTTTTCAGTCTGTTGATGAATGTTAGATAGTCCATAAACTGCTACTCAGTTAATTTTCTGAAGCAATGACTCATGGATGTTAGTGCCTCCACAGCAGTTTTTTTTATTCAAGTGCCTAGGCAGATTATTTATTAGGAAAACAAATCTAAGAATTGAAATCCTCTATTTACCAAGATAGACACAGTATGGACTTTTAAAAATTAGCTATATCTATGTGGATAGATGCCATTGAACAAGTGCAAATCTGTTAAGAGGTGTTATGGAATTATTCGGTGTTTTTAATCAGCTGATGAAGAGTAACGAATGCACTGTGATCTCACAGGTCAGGGCAGTTGCCTAGTGTCTCACCCTACATTTGATAGCAGTGGGCTCGAAGCATCATAATGGTCCTAAGCCACCATGTCTGATGTACAGAAGGAGCCCTATCAACTGATATTTAACTAATTGTATAGTTTTTTTGTTTGATTTCTAAACTTTGCTGGTGAAGAGGCATGAACTACAAAGTTTGCCTCTAGAAAAGTTCATTTCCAGAAAGTTCACTTTTGGAGAAGTGATATTGGTGGCAGCCCTGATAGGTGCAGATGTAACTTAATTGTATTTTGTTAAAGTACTGGGAGACAGTCAACCACATTTGTACAATATTTGTATAATATTCCACCTAAATGAATCTTCAAGCCTGAGCTTGAGTCATCCAGAAGATTTAAGTCAAAGTCTCCCTCTATGTAAGTAAGCAGGAAAATATATTCAAGCCTAGAAAGATTTATATCAATGATTGAAAGGTTTCAGGTTTTTAGGGTTTTTATATGTAAGTTGCTAAGCTGCAGTTTGGTGGCAGAATCTCATTTCATCTTTATGTGGTGTCACATAGCAAGGATCAAAGAAAGTTATAAACCACTGATTTAGTTCATAAGAATTTGAAAATGATTTTGTCTTGGCCATCTTTTTTCCCACCTCACCTAGTAATATACTACATAAGTGTTCATAGGAAAAATACTACATAAATGTGTGTTGGCAGTGAGGAGACTTGACTTCTCTCTGAAGAGAAGGCATTAACAAACCAGAAGCTACAGGTCTCTAATAAAGCACCACTTCTCATAGTTACGCCACTGTCTTTAGGTTACCTTTATAGAGAGAGGTTCCTGATGCCCATACTTATCAAGGTTGCTTTTCTTAGAACTCACAAATGTGTATTACCTTGTTTAGATAGCACAGTGTAATGGGCTCTTGTGTGTGTGTTGGATTACTTACAGAGCCTTCACCTTCACTTTGACCTATATCCCAGCCCTTTAATTAATTTTTTTTTTTTATTCTTGAGACAGGGTCTTGCTAAGCCACTAAGTTTCCCAAGCTGTGCTCATGTGATCCGCCTGCCTTAGCCTCTCAGTGCGGAGATTATAGGTGTGCACCACCATACCTTGTAGAGGATTTTAGTTGTTTTTGTTTGTTTTGTTTTGTTTTTGTGGTACTGGGAGTTGAATCCAGGTCCCTGCAAATGGCAGGCAAATACCACTGAGCCATATCTCCTGCCATGTGCTGGCTTTTTAAATAATCTGGACTGGTGGTGGTGGTGGTGGTGGTGGTGTGTGCGCACGCACGCATGTGCATGTGTGTTTATGCTTTTTGTCCTTTTTTGGTCCTTGAATCAGCTTTGGGAAGCTTAGAGTTGTCTTGGACTTCTGTTCAAGATGAGATCCAGGGTCTCGTGCAGAGCATGTGGCCATCCCGTCTCTTTCTTCGTATGACAGTTCACCCTTAATGTGAGTCTTCTAGCCCTGTGTTTCAAACTGGGCAATCTAAAACAGAAGCAAGAGGATCTGGGCTTGAGTAATGCAGCTGTTTCTCAAGCTTGGAAGATAAATGCTAGCATGATCTCATAGCGTTGCTCTTTTAGAGACAGTAGAAGCCACGTCATTAACCTGTCAAGTAGAAACATCTGCCCTACCTAATTTGTTTTGGAGATATAACAAGATATTGTAAAAACACTTTATCATTTATATATATAAATAATTTTTTATATACCACATATGCATAGTATTAGTTGCTATGAGAAAAAGAACTATAAACTTACACATTATCAGCTATATGAAATCTGTCATGACTTCTTATGGGTAATCGCCATAAAAAGCTAAATTTCCTGTAGCAGATGGCGCTTTTCCCTGTGAGTAAATGAATCAGCTGAAACTGTTTTGTATGTAGTGTTTTGCTTTATGGTTGCTCGGATGGGATGAATGTCGTCCTTGTGTTGGGAATTAAACAATCTCTGTTTCGTATGGAAGTACACAGCACAAAGTACTCACATGACATGACTTCTTGTTCTGAAAGCAAAATCACAGGCCAGCCTGCAGGGCGGGGATGGGCATATAGAACAAGGCAGATTGGTGTTCAAATCCAGGCTTCACCCTTTACTAGTTTTCTCTGGTGAAAGGACTTTTCATCTTTGTAAACCACCTTATTTATAAAATGGGCATATCACCTCGAATTTTTTTGAGATTCATAGAGAGGAATGAAATACTCCTCAAGCACAATGATAATGTAGTAAATATTTCTCTTCGTTGATTCTGCCACTGACATTTCCCCTGCCATCTTGATTCTTCATATCTTTATGAATTCTGATTGACCTCAAAGAGGAAAGAAAAAAATGCAGAAATGAAGTTCATTCCTTTAGAACTGTGTGTGCCTCTTAGTATTATTTGGAAGTTCCTTACTAATAACCTTCTATTTACTAGTCATATGAAATAGTTTTAAAGATTGCTTTGGTGTGCTTCTATCCATTGGTTTGCCATTCTCTTAATGTCTCCTTTGTTATTTCAAAGTGTAACGTAACTAGAAAATCCAGCCTGGTATGTGGAACAGTCCAGAGCCCAGCAAGGCTACTTGCAAAGCTCTTTGCTGGCCTGGATGTCACTGGCTTGCTAAGGTCTGGGTGGTGTGCCGGAGAGCAGACAGCTGATCTTTAGTTTGTTACTTTGAAATAGGGTGAAACTCCTATCAGATGAGATTTATCTTCGAAAGCACCAATAATTTAGGGAGAGAATTTGCTTTAAATTGCAGAATTCACTTATGCCATTATAAAACTCTGTTTTTCCCCTAACAGTTTACTGAACTCTTATTTAAAGAGTGATTAGTTTTTGTTTTAGAAGCATAACTCTTTTTACTGAAGTCTTTTTAACGGAATCCATAAAATCTTTACAAGGGAAAATTAAGAGATCTTGACGGGATTTTATGTCAGTGTTCTGGTAGCAGCACAACTCTGTAAATTGAGTCTCCGAGAGGAATAAAGGAGAAAAGTCAGTTCTGTCATAGACATCTGACGTAGCATTGTATGTATAATCTTAAATTTATTATACAGAGAAGGTAATTTTTATGTATTTTACAGTTAAAACAGAGAAGAAGACAGTGCAATTTAGTGATGATGTCCAGGTAGAGATGATAGAGCCAGAGCCGGAAGCAACTTTTATCGACGAAGTAAGTGCTTTCCTTGGTGGTAAGGTTGTGCTTTGTGTTGAAGTTGGAATGCTTTCAATTGCTTGAGTAATCTTATATGTTGTTGTTATAAAAATTCAAATAGTATAGACAAGGTGTTCTCGAAACTTCCTCTCCATCCCATGTTGACCCTCTCAGGACCTTCTGTTTAGGGCTGGGGATGTGGCTCAGTGGCAGAATGCTGGCCCAGCAGATGTGAGGTTCTGGGTCTTGTCCCCAGAACCGTGGGGAAAATTCCTGCCTAATATTTCATAGAATCGAATCATGTTTTGATTATCCTCTTAAACACTATGGATAGTCCCAGTTTTTACTGCTACTGTATAGCAAACTGTTATATTGAGACTTTTTGCATTTGTGTCTTTCTGTTTCTTTACATCTCCAAGAATGGAATTGTCAAGTTAATGGATCTGTGTGTTTTCCATGTTAATAGATACTGCCAAATTATTATGTAAAATGGGATTTTAACACTCACATTGATATTATGAAAGTACCTGTTTCTGCTTATGCTTACCAAGCATATTAGAATTATTTGCTCATTACTGAGCAAGAGACAGTTATTGACTGTTCTGTGAATAAATCAGATTGCTTTTTCTAAAAATTCAACTGCCATTTATTACTACTACATAAACCATTTCATGGGAATGAATCATAATTCCTCCTTGGACGGACCACTTTTGGGTACTTTGGAAAAGCTTATGCTAATTTCATGTTAAGTGTCCCCATATGTCACTGTCACATCTGAAACAATGCATGCTTTCAGTGCTAATGTTTGAAAATACAGAGTCAGTTTGATGGCAGCTCAATATCCATAGTCTTTGAGGCTCCACAGTAGTAGTACTAAACTTTTATATCATTAGGGTTTAAACTGGAGGTTTTCTTGAGTTAATATATCCTATGTACTTAAGCTGTATAAAAACCTCTGCTATGAATACAGAGAAGGAAAAGATCAAACTGGTTACTTTTTCATCTTTAAGCGTGCTTGTGGTTTTCTTTTTCTATTCAAACATCATCATTACTTTTTCAAATAACCATATTAACATAATGATTACGTAATTTAATTAACATAACATTAACTTAATAGTACAATGTTAAATTATGGAACCTAGCAAGCCATACAAGATATTATCACCTCCAGGTCAAATTTGGAACACAATTAAGCTTGTTTTCATATTGTATATGGCTGTTACACAGGCAGAATTGATTAATAACGGGAGAGGATCATGTGGCCTACAAGCTCTAAGTTTTACTATCTGACAGTGTTTGCTGGTCCCTGGTATAGATTGTTCATTTTAGGAGAATCTTTTCAGACCCTCATTTTTCCATAAGGACTTTTTCCTAAAATTGACCTGCCTGAGTGCACACTCTACCACCACTCATCCAAAAAACTTAAGACATTGAAAGAATGCAATGATGTTGCTGTAACAACTTGTGTTGATTTGAAGGAGAAAAAATGAACAATTTGAAATTCCTAACAGAGTGATTTTGGTTTGTTTTTCTGTGGCCCTGGGATGAATGCAGGGCCTTATAGGGTAAGCACCCTATCACTGAGCCACAGTCCCCGCCCCAGGCTATTTGGAAATGATAATGATGAATGTAAATTGCTGTTTTTTTAATTCCTTTGGATATGTTTAGACAAATGCAACTATTTTTTTATATAATACCCTGGAAATCATATCCTTTGTAACATATTCAACTTCTAAAAAAATGAGATGTCATCTGTAAAATAGGTGAAGGGCTTTTTAGATTTTTAGCATTCTCGTAGAAGAGACAGAAGGAGATGATTTGAAGACAGTCTTTCAGAGAAACGGAGTGTAGAAGATCACTAAGGGCCAGCAAGTCCATCTGAGTCAGAGAGAATTGAGTTTGGCAAGATTGCATTACAGAAGAAAACCCATGTAGCCTGGTGCTCTGTAGAGAAACCCCATTTCTTTTACAGCAAATAATTTCAAATAGTATTTAATATTCTATAAACAAGCAAAACGGTGTCCAGATATTAGTTGACTCTCCGCTCTCATTTTACCTCTTTGGGGGGGAGATGTACACAAACTTTTCTGATATATACCTTCCTTTTTGTAGACTTCTTAAAATGGTGAATGAATCATTTGCTTCGAAAAGTATCTATTTCAAAATATAGAATCCATTTGAGTTGACTTTTTAATAGCACTTTTGTTACTTTCACTCTAATGATTAATTCATCCTCAAACTGTTTTTCCTTCACAGAATATTTTTTGTTTTTGTTTCGAATTGCTACTTTCCTTAGAATTAGTAGTTTTTAAATTATTATTTTTTTTTAGGGGCTTTTTTTTCACTTTTCTTTTTTGGTACCGGAAATCGAACCCAGGGCCTTGCACTTGCTGGGCAGGCGCTGCACCACTGAGCTAAATCCCCGGCCCTGTTTTGAAATTATTATGTCACCTACAACCCTGTAAAAACTATGTATGGAGAAAGTTTTGTAATTATTTTACTTGTCTTCCTTGGTAGCTTAGAACTAGTTTGATTAGAAAAATATATATGTACTTATATGATGTATATATTTGCATAATGATGATTTTATTAGTTCTTTGGATCCTTACAACAAAAGATTCTAAAATAGATCTGAGCCATAGGTTTGAGATACCTTCCAGCCTTTCTCAGGTGGGAGAATACAGAAACCACAAGTTTTCCTCCTTTCAATAACAAACTGAAACATTGGTGGAAAGAAAATGTCCAGTAAATCCTTATGGCCTTTCTTCCGAGAACAACTGTAATACAGCTGAGCCTGGCCTTCTGGAAGCAGCTGCTGCATTCTCCACTGGGGAGGGGAATGACTGCGTTGTTAGTCATAGCCAGCGATCTTTAGAGGGATGTTACACCTGTTGTGTGGCTGACAAAGTGAAATCCTTCAGCATGATGTAAGGGATTGAAGAACTCACACGTCGAAAGTTTAAATGGGGCTCTGTTTCTTCTAATTTAAGAGAATCTGTTAGCAGTTTCAAAAATATGTAGGAATGGCTTTCAAGGGTCTAACTTCACATGTTGCTAAAGAGAATACTTGGGAGCTAAAAACATAAGCAAAATTGGAGTCTTTGTAACTCTAGATTATAAAAGTTTTATATCCATTATCTAGTTAACAAAGTGAAATATAAATGGTTCATTAAGATTGGATGCTTTTTATATTAACTAATTCCTGTAGGATAAAATGGACCAGTTGTTACAGATGTTGCAAAGTACAGATCCCAGTGATAATCAGCCAGATCTGCCAGAACTACTTCACCTTGAAGGTAAATCTTGTTCTTTGTTTACCTTGCAAAAACAAAGAGAACTAGAGATTATATCTACTGTACAGGAAAAGAGCAAATTTTGAGAATGATCTTATAAATGTAACATTTTTCACTTTTCTTTGACCCAACTTCACTTCTTAAACCTTGGGTAAAGTCTGAATTCTTATACTTTTAAGCCAAATTAAATATTTTACTCAACATTAGAATGTTGTAAAATGAAAAAGTTTTAAATTTGGAAATCAATACTTTAGATTAAATTGTCACCATTATTCTTTAAGAAAATCAGTTTTGAGTTGTTGACTAAGGTTAATTAGTGTAATTTGTATTATCCCAAATTAAACCTTTTATTCCTTTCATTATATGAATATTTCTCAAAAATATTTATTTTGTTGTGTTTTCTTATGTCTTCAATTCTTGTCATCTTAGCGATGTGTCACCAGATGGGGCCTCTCATTGATGAAAAGCTGGAAGACATTGATAGGTAAAAGAACATGTATTATGTCTATATTGTGTACCTTCGTCCCTGAAACTATCTCTTTAATTGCAGAGTGGATTTTATGTGCCTTTTTAGAAAAGAGACTCCAAGTTGGGCACGGTGGCACACACCTGTAATCCTGGCACTCGGGGAGACGGAGGCAAGAGAATCACAAGTTCAAGGCTAGCCTGAGTAGCTTAGCAAGGCAGTGATACAATAAAATAGAATAAAATGAAAAATAAAAAGGATTGAGGCTGTAGCTCAGTGCAGACGCTTTGGGTTCAACCCATAGTTCTGCCATCACCACCACCAAAAGATAATTAAAAAGATATTCCCAGGAACTATTCCTTATTTTCTTGTTTTCAACTAAATGTGAAGAGTGACTCATCCTTTTTTAAAAGTAAGGACTTTGTCGACCTTTTTTGCATTGAGTGTTTTTAAAAATAAGAGGTAGTGTAATTGTCTTCCCTACAGTGGCAATACCAGGACCCACACATGAACCATGGGGAAACTATCTATTTCAAGGTAGAGTCAAGTACAGTACCCAAATCTGAAACAAGATATTTTTGTCACAGGTTAAATACGTCTTCTTGTGTTAATTTTTGCTACTTTTGACTTTTTAATGTATTATTATTTAGAACATTGTATCATTTAAGCAAACATTTCAAATTATTGTTTTATGCTTCAGAAAACATTCAGAATTCTCAGAACTTAATGTCAAAGTGATGGAGGCGCTTTCATTGTATACGAAGTTAATGAATGAAGATCCAATGTATTCCATGTATGCAAAATTACAGAATCAGCAGTATTACATGCAGTCATCTGGTGTGTCTGGTGCTCAGGTATGCTTTTAGAAACTCAGTTGTATTCTTTTAAGTTCTCTAATGCATGTGAAGTTATTCAGAACAGTGGCATTTTTGTGAATGTGAAACTTTGTAAAAGTAATGTTTAGAATGAAAATAAAACTTAATCAGATTTTGTTTGATGAATACAATGTGTGATATGTAAGCATACCAGTCTTTTGTGTTTTCATTGCTGTTAAACAGCAATAGGCAGTGGAAGCACTTATTACGTTTAAAAAAAAAGATATGGACACTTTGGTCCTGTGCCAGATCTACTGAATCAGAATCTTTAAAGTTGAGGCCCAAACATTTACATATATTTCAGAGCTTCCTATGTAATTATCTGGTTAAGAAAGTTCTTGTCATATTTAAGTCAAATTTTAATTATTACTCAATTCTTCAGAGTCTACAGGTTTTTTTTTAATAGTAAGCTGCTTAATTTAGGTGTTCTTATCACAAAAAAAAACCAGTTGGGGGAGAAGAAACTGAATCAATTAATATGTTTATGGCATAGCTTACAGTGATGGCTTGAGGGTATATACTTACCTCCCAACTTAGCGGGTTGGGTACAATAAATAGGTGCAGCCTTTTCTGTGTCAATCATATCTCAATAAAATACGTATTTTTAAAAAGCCACAAATTAAAATGTACCATTTCTAGGAATAAAAAACAAACCTCTCTTAAACATCTAATGAACTTCCGCTTATTCTTAAAAGGAAAACTTAAATGCAGTGGAAAAAAATGAGTTGAAAAGCTGTTATTAACCAACAGAATATAGTATTTCTGTATTTTTTTTTTTTTGGTACCGGGGATCCAACTCGGGACCTTGTGTTTGGGCGGCATCACTGAGCCAAATCCCCAGCCCTTTCTGTGTATTTTTTTAAAAGGCGCCTGAATATGGAACTTCTCCCCTCCTTTACATTAGAATGCCTGTAATGCAAATATAGAGCCCTTTTCTTGCTTCATCTCAAACAACTGGTGCATGTTCTTGTTGTAAGGAGCCAGGTAACCCTGTTTTGTCCACTTAACAGTGGTCACAAACTTTGTTCAGATTGTTTTTTCCCATAGTCCATTTCCCCAGAAAGGAGGGTCAGCACCCAGGAGATGAACAAGCAGCCCTGAGAAACCCGAGGCTGGAGAGCACCTTCACCACCAGAGCCGAGTCACACACATTAACCAGATTTCACACTCAGTTTGCAAAGCACGATGGAATGCAGTTGAAAGGACTGGTATAGCCGTGTTTGCGGTGATGTAACATCATTACATCGTTTTGGATTTTCCTCTGTGTTGAGCCTGTTAGGGCTTAACAGAAATATAGAATGATTACTGCCCATTTCTCTTGGTGGGTGGGTGTTACAGTCTTAACACACGAATGGTCTCACCACATAGACAGTAAGTTCTTGTTAAACATAGGAAATGAATACTACAGAAAATTAAAACATGCTTAAGACTTGAGTATTTAAAACTTCAATCTCTTTAGATTAAAAAATATATAGTTTTTAGATAGGCAAACAAACCCAGCCCACTTCCTATTTCTTTTTATTTTTCTACATAAATTTTTATTGGAATGCACCTCTCATCTATTTCTGCATTGTGGGTGTATTCTGTACCTGTAGAATTTTGTAGTTATATGGTATAAAAGCCTAAAATATTTGCTACCAAGCCCTTTATAAAGAACTTTGCTGACCCCTGCTGACCCAGCAAGTTAACTTGCTCAAGGCCCAGTAAATTTCACTGTAAGTGGGGCAGGGATTTAGCTCAGTAGTGCTGCTGCCTGCCTCTCAAGCGCAAGGTGTCCTGAGTTTGATCCCTGGTACCAAAAAAAAAATTTTTTTTCACTTTAAGAAATGTGAATTATAAATACAGTCTATGACTGTAAAGCAGCGAATTCACACTTCCTAAAAGCCCTTTGTTTTTTAAAATATCAGTATGGAAAGTGTTAAATATATTTAATGAAAAAATCAATTACATTAATACAAAGTTTCAGGGGAAATTCCTTTAATGCTTCTGTGCGGAGATAAACATGAGTTCATGCATTGCTTAGAAACAAAAATCACCAGTAGTCCACTTCACTTAAAAGTGTCTTTTGTAAAATACCTGGTTACAGAAACAACCTTTGAATGGTTTTTCTCAACAGAGCAGGTATTGCGTGTGTTAACCCCTAAGAGAATAATGTCCTCTCATTGGCTGCTGCAGGTCTGTCCCGGGCCTCCTCAGAGCGGTGCCTACCTGGTGGCAGGGAGTGCACAGATGAGCCATCTGCACAGCTACAGCCTTCCCCCGGAGCAGCTGTCTTCTCTCAGCCAGGGCGCTGTCCCGCCGCCCACAAGCCCAGCCCTTCCTAGCCAGCAGACCACGGCTTCCTACCCCAAGTAATTGGATTATCGGTGGTGTTTGCAGTTGGTGCTGTTAGTGCTTTCAGTCGCCTGCTGTCACCTGGCCTCCTAGATCTGGATAGGAAACTGAGGCAGGGGCCATCACTGGTCGGCGGGCTCCTCTGTGGTGTGAGGGTTCTCCAGGAAGCCCTGTGGTATTTAGAGGACCAGCTGCAGGCCAGTCCTCTGTTTGACTCACTTGGCTATATTTTGATGTTAGTTTGTATTGATAATGTCTTTAACGAAACTAGAAAGTATATCGTTTTCCCACAACTTTTGTATAAAATCTAAATTTTGTTATTATTAGAATATATAATCTGGGGTGTTTCTTTACGAAAATATTTTCTTATTTTTGTCCTATGTCAGAATTTAATTTTATTGTAGAAGGTACAACATTTGAAAGAAGGCACAAGAATCCGTATACTTCTGTGGTTCTTGGGGCAGATATCTTTGAGATGACAGGTCCAGTTATTTTTGGCATTTATTTATAATATTCTCTACCTACCATGCAGTGGTTATTTATGTACATGTCTGTTTTGAACTAATAGAAATATAAGCTGAATTTGTTCTCTTGAGACTAATAAAAGGTAGTAGGTTAAATGTTTACCCAGGTATATTCTACAAGTCGTGATATTCTGACTTGCAGCAAAATTGTCAAGGTGGCACAGGCAGAGTTTCTGGAAACCTTCCCATCAGTGTTCACCAGTGCTTCCCTGCCGGCCTCTGTATTGTAATATAGTCATCCACAAAGAGTCCCGTGTTGGAGGTGCTTGGGGATTTTTCAGCCATTATTGTGTTGTCCCATCTAGTATTCTGAAGTGACCTTAAGAAGGTGGGTAATAGGGAGACCTAATGTTTATGGGGTATTTAATAAATGCCAGGCACTGTGCCTTATGCTTTACACACACTAATTCATTACTTCTATGAAGGTGATAACACACTTAGCTAAAATTCAGACCAGCCATTCTGGTGCAGAGCTTAAACCTAATGAATGCAATTTTGTGGTCCACCCTGCTAGAAATAATGGTATGAAAATTGGCTTTGATTTTAACATATTTTACAGTGCAGCACATATAGAATGATAATTGGTAATGCAAATAACACAGGGCCTGGCACATACTAACCATCCCATAAATATTAGCTAGCTAGCACCGTACTCTCACCTTTTACCATATTCCTTATCTCAGTTCACAGTTCTGCCTTCCACCCAATGGCCTGGGGCATAACCCTGCAGTTATGCAACACTTCCCTCTCTTGTATCTGTTCTGCACTTTCTCCCCACCATGTCACTGATGTATGCAATTCTTTGCTAATCTTCTAAATAACTTTTCTATTAATATCATTGCATCTTGTAATTAGACTCTGATCATTTCTTGCTTGATCTACAAGGTCCTTTGGCTTATAATCTTGCCCCTGTGAATCTGTCTATCCTGTTGCCATTTAAAGCTCTTAAATTAAAAAAAATATATTTATTTATCTATTTTTTATTATTAGAGCACATTAGTAATAGAGAAGATGAGGTTCATTCTGGGAAACTGGTACACACATTTAACATGTCTTGATTATTTTTAATCCTATTAACCCCCTCCCTTTATGAACTTTCTCATTCTCCTTAATGTAAGGCTCAAGTTCCTTAACATGCTACTGAGACCATTCATTCTAAGACCTTGCCAGGAACTACCGATGGGTGTCTGACTGCTCCTGCCACGTCCTTTAAGCCATAGTAATCAGGTACTGGTGGTAGTGCCTGTCACATACTAGGCCTTCTAGACTTTCCATCTCTGCTCTTCCTATGGATAAGTCCCATGCCATTCCATATCACTACAGTATATCTTCACTCATTGTAGATTTAATAGATTGATCACCATCACTATAGGTGGCTTTTAGAAATACATCACTGCCATCTTTCCCAGTGAGCAATGTGGTTGACCTAGGATGATGGAAGTCGGAAAAAGAGTCAACTCTAAAACCAAAATTATATGTAAAGGAATAAGAAATAGCCTCCTAGGTGTGAAAAAAACCACCTATCAAATACAACTACAAAAATCTTCCTTGTCCCTGATTTGCAACTAGAAAGTTTGAGTCACATATGCAGGACACTAACGCAAATAGACATCTTAGCTGTCCCTCCTAGGTTTATCTTAGATTGGCCCCGCTAGTGGTTTTCTTCTCCATTTAAACACATTTGTCTTTATATATTTATAAATACCTATATTATACTTTTGTATATACTTAAATTGTCTCAAAGTCTTTGTAAAACCTGAAATTGTAGTCATTAACATTTAAACATGTATCAAGTATTTACTGAGTTCTTATCTGGCATAGAACTGCATCATACCGTGTGACCCTAAAGGTGAATGCAACTCAGTTCTGGCTCTTAAGATAATTACGGTGTAGACAAATAAAAAGGCAGCTGCCGGCGAGTGACAATGACAGGTGTGTCATGGGACCCTCGGGTGCCACACGGGAGGTGGGAAAGCAAGAAGCCATCTCGGTGAAAATGAAGCTAGGAACTAACAAACAGGAATAAGCCAGGCCCAAAAGGCTAACTGTCTCAAGGCTGTGCTAGGGCAGAAAGCACCTGTTGGATGAACGTGTGTTTCTTCAGAGGTGACATTAACAGCTGTGCTGTAGTAGAAGGCTCAGGTCCTATATCACCCATATGACGTCACTCAGGGTGTCATTTCAGATCTGAGTAGGTATAGGCACAGATAGTTGATAAATGGGGTGGTGGGTGTATAGAAAGTCTCTTACTTGTTCTGCATTTTTAGGAAAATAAGAGAAGTGAGATTATCAGACTTTCATCCCCACTATGCAATGGAATTGTCTTTGTCAGGAGCGATTGCTCCATTGCCAGCTCCTGTGGTCAGTCATGTCTCCTACGCTGCTTAACAAGTCAAATTCCCCCATTTGCTTTTTCACTGGCCGTAAGCACAGTCTCTTCATTTTCCTTTTGCCTCACTGCTGCTCCTCCTCAGTCTCCTTTGCCCAGTGCCCTCTATCTTCTTAGCTTCAGGATATCTAGGGCTTGCCCTGTGGACTGCCTTTTTGTTTATTTGCGGTTACTTCTAGGATCTCTTGTTGCCAGCCCCTGATTCTGACCATCACACTCACTGATGGCTCCCAAATGGACTTGAATAGCTGACTGCCTATGTGTTATCTTTTCTTGTGAGTCTTCTGCCTCTCACTTGACATGTCCAAAACTGTTCTTTGTTTTCCCTACACCCCTCCCATGACAGTCCATTGTATTCCAGTCTGTAATTTTCTCCTTCTCAGTGAATGGGCACTCAGCTAGTTTTTTTGTTTTTACCACTTATTAAATTGCCTTGTCCATTAACCAATTTCAATGAGACTGTCTCCAGAACATGTCTCACTTACCCTTTTTCCCATCTCCACCATGGCTCTGTCCAGCTGTCAGCTCTCACTTGGGAAAATCTAACAGCCTCTAGTATTCTCGCTTCTCTTCTTGTACCAGAGAGAGCCTGTTAGAACCTAAGTCATCACAGCGCCCTTCTCAGAATCAGCCAGAGTTGGTCCATCCCACTCGCAGAATCCATATATATATATATATATATAGTGCCTTTAAGACATATATATTCTAAGGCTTGATGTCACTCTGCTCCTTGACATGCTCACTGCTGCAGTCCTTATGGCCTCTTCGCTGTTCCTTGGACCTACCCGGCATTTCTCTCTCAAATGTTTCTTGCTTGTGGGCTGAAACTTATTTTCTTGGGTAATTGGTATGACTCCCCCCTTCTAGGCTCTTGCATAAATGTTGCCTTTTCTGAGAGACCCTTCTTTACTACTCAGGATTAGCTAGGATCCTTTGTGCCAAGTACTTTTGGTCCTCCCTACTATGCTGTTTTTCCTTCACGGCAGTTATAACTTGTTGACGTGTTACGAATTTATTATCCCCCTCCTACTCAAATGTAAGGTCCATGATGATAAGGACTTACTTTTCTTTTTCTTTACAGCATCTCAGTTCCTATAACAACAGTGTTTGATACTTTATACATATTTAATAAAAATTATCAAATGAATTTAATTGAATAGATGTTTGATAAATAGCTTTTCAGTGTATCTCTGAATGGCTGCATAATTTAGTGTTTAGCTAATTGGGTGTTTTTCTCCATCCATCCACAGTGCCATGGTTAGTTCTGTTCAAGGAACCACGTATCCCAACCAGGCTGCAATGTATAGTCCTCCTCCTGCTGCTGCTGCTGTCGCTGCTGACGTCACAGTCTACCAGAGTGCAGGAACTGGTATGTCCCAGGTGCCAAACTATACTCTGACGTCTTCCGCCCTGCCTCAGCCAGGAGCCAGCCAACAGCCACCCCCGCCGCAGCAGCAGCTGTATTCTCAGAAGGCTCTGCTATAGGACCTGGTTTTCTTCTTTTTGGGAAATACCTGCTAAATGCCGCTGACGATGTTACAAGATTTATTAGTATCTTAAGATTTGTTTCTCCTCAGCTTATAGAAATCTATCTCGGTCAACAGATTCACATGGTCAAGAAGGTAGAAGTCTCCGATTTGCACAGACATTTTACAGGTGCACCCTTCCTCTCCCCCAGAGGGAGGAAACTCCTTACAACAGTTCCTTCCTTTCATAATATGAAGAATTGATTCAAGATTATTTGTCTCGTAAAATTACCTGGTCTGCAAAGAGTCAAACTTACAGAAACTGTCGTGGCATATGTTCTGTACATGTGTTGATATGTAACTTCATTAGAGGCCATTTGAATCACAGTGGTGATCATGTGAACGTATTTAACACTGTGTTCAATTAATTTGCTGTGTTATTTTAATCATGACAACTACTATGTTTCCTAATGTTTTATGTAAATTTAAGGTAATTACACTATCCTTTCAGACTGCAAGAGAACAAAGTTGTAGCATATTCACGTGAAGGCGTTGTTGTCCAACCCTCATTTTGCTAATTGTGAGCTAACTTACGTGTAGTACGTCTTTCTGTAGCCTCTGCGTCCCACTGGCTGTCATCACACCAGCGTACAGTAGCTAAATTTTTGGTGCAGTTATAGAAATAATAATGTTCCCTTTTAAGCTTACATTTTGGCATGGTATTTCAGATATTGTGGGACTATGAGATAAAATTAAGTAGGATCGTGTTCTTTATATCTTATTTTTAAAGAAATGATGTCGATTTCCTTTTTCCTAGTCGAAGATAGTTAATCAGGTTTCTAAGCTGTATACTGTGTTAATTGGTGGCAGTGACACCAAAGATAGAGGCAATGGATAGAAATTTTTAAACTGGAATGAGAACATGAGTTACACTACATTTTCAATCTCTTGTAATTATTTAGGATAGAAACAAAATTTGATTCATCTGTCTTATCCTACTACTAGTAGTCTTTTAAATATGTCTTTAACACTTTGTATTCTTTAATTCTTCATTAAAATGGGTATAAGTAGATCTTTCAAAGTAATTCATATTTCTGGCTTTGCTTATCAGTTTATGTATTTATTGTTACCTTTCAAACTGGAGTTTTGGGCTACTTTCCTTTAAAGTTCTGATGGAATTACTTTGGCTCGTATTTGGGAGTATTTTTGAATGGATGCTTCTCTTTTAATTCATACAAAAAGTGTTTTCCACTGACATTTTAATCATAAATATTTACAATTTCCCTGGTTGTGCTCTACTATAATTCTAACATCATTATTTTAAAAAAACTTAAAAATTGAGTTGAGTACCTTTTTTGGGGGGGGCCGGGTACCAGGGATCAAACTCGGGACCTTTTGCTTGCAAGGCAGGCGGTGGAACCACTGAGCTAAATCCACGGTCCTGAGTACCGTTTTTAATGAGTTGATTTAACAGGTTTCATACTAAAAATGCAAATTTGATTTATATTTTCTAAGATTATTGTAATCAAGTAGATTGTTTAACAGATGACTCCATAATATCAATGGTGACTAATTTCACAGGTTCAAATGTAGAGCACCATCTTCTATTTAAGTGTTTTTGTTGATGTTGTATTTTCCTGAGTTTATTGTCCACAAATACTAATTTCTAAATTTATTCAAATTCCATGCTTTAAGAACTTTTATGTTACTTTTGATAAACATTGTTGAAGAGATTATAATCTTTTTTGTTCCAATTTGAATATTATGTTTTAACTGATATACTTTTCCCAAGTCTTACTGTATTTTTCTGTCATGATAAATTTTTGTTTACAACTGTATCCTTTTCCCATTTTAATTTTGATAGCGCTCATGCTATAAAATCAATTAAATATTTTCTAGTATGCTTTCAGCCCTATGAAAGTCAAAGAATGGTGAAATGCCAAAAAAGACCAATGACAGCAACCCTACCTTTATTACAATGCATATACATTTCCCATTACCTATTAGATTACGGGGCTTATAAAGACTTAAATGATGAGCACTTAAAAGTGATACCGACTTAGTTTATGCTTCTCACTTATTAAGAATGAAAGTGCCAGGTGGAAAATTTTCAAAGAAAATTGTAGCACTAGCTTTTCCATCTTTCAGATGACACGACAAGGATGGAACTAGGAGGACACTAGTTAGGGTCACAAGTGATTTTCGTTTGAAACCTTTTGTGTTGCACTTTCAAGGAATCTTTCATTAATAGCTGTCCTTATTTTGAAGGAATAGAATTTATAAAATGAACTAACTATAATGTAAACTTCTGTGAAGCCATTTTTATTTCTCAGTTTATTTCTTTCATAAAGTTTGAGGTTTGTTTCCATAAAGGTGACACTAAATGGAAAAAATTCAATCCAGTTACTATGTAGCATAAGTAGCCAACAGACTCCATGGCTGATTGGATGTAATAATATATGAGTGTCCTAAAACTACTACTAGTGATTTATAATATTAACTTAATTTGATTTTACAGTCTTTTCTAACTTTGTGGTCTTCCTTCACTATTACCTGTCTCCCCTGCTCAATGAGGGACCTTTTGATATGCCTAAGGATTCCCTTCATATTAAATACTTGTGAAAATTTTTTTCCTGTACCTCTTAGTTCTTATACTTAAAATGCTTTAAAGTCCATTGTCGTTCATTTCTGATAGATACAGCTTTCCTATGTGACATATGTCTAATTGTGCTTGAAAATCTTTTGTCCAGAGCATCAGGGTTGTGTGAGAAAAACATGAAATCCTATGTAATAAACTGCAACTATAAAAATTACAGAAATTATTTTCCAAGATGAAGTTGATTGGTATTTGTCAAATCTTCATCTGTTACACATTAAAATCACTCTTTTCTTTTTCTCATCTATTTCCTTGTTTTACTTACCTTGTTTTACATACTAGTTACACTTTTTGGTTATACCACTTCTAAATTTTAATAACAAAATTGTACTTTAAATTTTTCACTCCTGTATTATATTCTAATTTTTTGGTGGTTTTCTTTTGTTTTTTGTTTGTGTGGTTTTTCTTGGGAGAGGAGTTGGATTTTGTTTCATTTTGGTTGATTAATTGCTTTTCTTCTTACAATAAAATATGTAGAAGAAACTTATGTAAATATTTTCTTTAAGGTCTTATAATTATCTTTTCCTTCAGAAAGGGAAAAGGAATTACTAATTTGGCTTCCTAAAGTTAAGTATCTGGTGTTATAAATGATGTTTACCCAACAACTTTTTGTATTGAGATTTTTTTCAAGCCTACAGAAAGATTTGAAAGAGTAATACATCAAACACCTAAATATTCTTCATCTGGATTCACTAATCATTAACAGTTTCCTTTATCTCCTTAATGTATGTTTATATATGCAAATCTGTATTTGTATATACCTCTGTCCTTCTACTCACATATACATTATTGTGTGAATATAAAAGACATTGTGAACTGTACTTCTAAGTACTTCATGTGTTTCGTAAGGATAAGGAAAGAATCTTCCATAAAACCTAAACCATTATCACATATAAGAAAACTAACAGGAATTCTGTAGTACATTACCAAATGACCCCCAAATTGCCTATATGTAATCTAAATTAATATCCATGTCACTCCATTCCCCCCATGATAAACACTTTTACAAAATCTACACCAGTTGTCTCAGAATGTCTCACACTCTGGACATATCTCTGTTTCTTTCACTTGATGCTGTTTTCTTGTAGTGATTGCTATTCTTTTTTTTTGTACTGGGGATCGAACTCAGGACCTTGCCTGGTGCCACTGAGCTAAATCCCCGGCCCCCTATTATTCTTAAAAGATTTTTAATCAGAAATATATGATTTATGGTTAGAAGTAATGAAACTAATTTTTTCACACTTACATCAAGCTGTACACATACCTGAACATTGTTAACTTTTAAGTATCTGTAAAATAGATTATAACAGGCCATTGATGTTACTGTAGCTCTGTATAGTTTTGTGGTCTTCATTTTCTGTTATATTTGGAGTGACTGAAGAAAGTTTGTGCAAAAAACCCCCCAAAAACAAAAAGCAGAACCTCACTTTCTCCCTTTAAAACAAAAATCAGCTTTTAATTTGTTTACCTACTCAACTTACTATGGATGGCTCCTAGGTCATCTTAGAAGTATAATCACTTACAGTGCTATATCTTTGGATGCATGAATTTTGGAATGTTTTTTTTAAAAGATTTCCCATTCCTTATAGTCATACCTTTGATGAAAACACTGAAATTGTTGAAAGGGAGGAAAAGCTCTTTAAGAAAAAAGTCCTGTTTCTTAATTTTCTCAAGTTGGTTACCAGATTAGAAGCATGTTGAATAAAATGCATAAACCACAGTCAAATTAGGAAGTACATGTCTGTTAAAATAATCTGTATCACTTGTTTTTTAAACAGCTTTTTTAGGATCTTAAATTATTTTAGTTGTTAATGGCTTTGTAAAAAATACAGTGTGTTTGTAATCCATTATTTTTGTCATAGGACATACAAGGTTCCTTAGCTGAAGGGCCATTATATGTCTTGCTACTTTAAAAAGAGTTATGGTACATGAACAATTGGGAAAGTTCTGGAATTAATTTTATGTCATATTACATGAGATAGGTAAGATGCCAAATAGGAAAATTTATGTAAAACATCCATATGATACGTTTATTTTTCTCTGAATAAAGACAGAAAAAAATCAGTTTTACTGTTTGGAGTTTGTTCTTCCTTCAGAGAAAAAAGATTTCAGTATAAGTATCTTTGATAGTCTGTAGTTGACAAATGTAATAACACACCCAAAGGAGTTGCTAAATGTGACTGAAGTTGTAATCAAGAGTGCAGGTAAATTCACTTAATAGTTGTCAAAGAGGCTTCATAATAACAAGTCCATTTCTAAAAATGGTAGATGGCACACGATAAAATAGTTGATTAATTTGCATTGTAAATGTATTATAGTTTGTGGATGTGAATTTCTTGTAAAGGTGCTGAAAGGATGGTGGTGATGATATTTTGTGTTGAAGATAAAAATAAGAACTTAAATTGTAGGAATTTACTGGTTCATTTTGCTATTAAGCAGAAACTTCAGCTTATTGACCCAGGAAGTTTAATCCAGATATAGCTTCTGTCAAAAGAATGTCTTGGTAGGTGATTTGATCTTGGGCAGCTCCATGAATCTCTTGGAGTTGCCTTCTACTTAGTATTTGTAATTTCCAGGGCTAATGCAACTACCCAATTCTTTGTGGTTTGCCAAAATTTAGTGCTTCATATCCTCTACTCCTATCTACCTTAAATGTCTGACATTCGGCCTGAGTAACTCACCTATGCCAGTGAATTTACCCTTGGCAGTTTAGAAGGGGAAAGACGGTGGGATGGGGTTGGGGACTATGGTACTGAAACTTGGGAACATGATTTCCAGCACAGTGGTAACAATTACTTTCTGAGATAATGTGGGGATACTGCATTTCCATCATTAAATCGGTGAGGCTTGTTTCTGTTTGAAGGGCCCTACCAAGAATATCTGCACTCTGGGTAGAAGTGCTTTCCCTGGTACTTATCTGAGGAGAAAGAAGCTCTGGGACATACTGTATTTGTGCTCGGCTTTACAACACAGGAGATGGGTAGCATTAGACTGTGAAATCTTATTGTCCTTGATATTCTTGTGGGCAAAGTGGTACCCGTGATCCTGTTGGCCCGAAAATGGTAACAGAGGCAATGTGCTGCAGTCACTGTGATTTAGCTGTTTGAGTTATTAAGAAAGAGAGTAGATTGCTAAGATTCTAGAGTGCTGTGGAAATTGTAATTTCCTGCTTTCTGCTGGCTAAGAGTATCTTCAGATAAGCTGCAAAATGTTGGCATCTCAAATACATGACCTAGAAGAAATGCCATATATGCCATTTCTTTACAAGTTACCAGTAAGTAAAAATAATGTAGACATTATATTTCAGAAAAGTTGATTGTGTTGTTCATTACATGAATCCATTTTTATACTTAAATAAAACAATTCCTCGTATATCTGTTCTTAGTTTTCCTGCTTTAGAAGATTAGATACCTTGTTGGCATTTTTAAAAATAGCTCTGCTAAATTAGTTTCTATTAGTTAATGTAATAAGATAAAGAAGTAAAGACATGTTTCAAGTATTGAGTAAAAAAGTAGATGTACTTTTTATTGTTCTTTTTTTGTAGAGGGGAAAGACAAACCTTCCTATTTATCACTGATTGTAATCTCCCTTTTTAAACAGATGCCTTTTAATTTTTTTTTTTTTTTTTTTGCTGTTTCATCCTAATTTTTTCAAGAATTGTCCTGAAAGGGAATGCCAGTTGGGTTTGCCCCCCGCCATGAAAAAAGTTATTTCATAGTAAATGCTGATTCTGTGTTCATACAATTAATGCTCTTTCCTTTGAAAAGCAGCTTAGCTTATAATAGAGCTTAGTGAAATGTTTGAATATCAAAAAATTTCAGGGCTATTTATGTGATTGTCAAATATAAATTTACTTAGAGAGGGAAGTAGATTCTCTTCAAGTTATTTTAATTTGTGTTTAAAATTAAAAGATGTGTAGGTAGGTCAGAATTACACTAGGCTGCAAGTTATTTTGTCTTTCTTTACTCATGAAACTAAGTAGAATATTTTCATTTTCCTGCCTGCTTTTCATATTGGAAAAGAATATGTTCTCAAGGTTTTTGGCATTATGTGAACAAACTCTGTTAGCTTTTATTCAGCATTTGAGGCTATTTAACTATATAGAGTTGTATATTTGAAAGGCAGAAAATACCCCCAAATTTTAATTTTCTTTAATAATATTTATTGAAACTTGATTCTGTTTATACTCTCAGTAGGGAAAACTAAAACTGAATAATGTCCAGATCATGCCAAATGTTTTATGTATACTGTAATTTAAAATGGCCAGGAAATTGTTTTCAAAGTCAAATAAAAGAAAAAAAATGACGGAAAGGTGTTTAGTTAATATATTTTAATAGTTTTCTCAAAAATAACCATTAAGTCAGCCATGGTGGTGCACACCTGTAATTCCAGCACTCTGGGAGGCTGACAGGTGGATTGCCAGTTAGAGTCCAGTCTGGGCAACTTAGCAAGACTTTGTCTCTCAAAAAATAAAACAAACACTTGGGATGTGGCTCACCTCCCCCCAACCCTCCACGTAATCACTAAATTAAGACTTGAATAGTATGATTTAAATTACCATGTTGCCTGTCTTTTGTATTCCTATTCTTTGTATCTATTCATGTCTTTTTAATCAAGTGCTGTTTATAACCCACTTATATCTAGATAATTATTTCATGAGCTGTCATTTAAAGTGTTTTACAGAATGCTTAAAATTAGGCTAAGAGAAATCTCAATATTAGTGGTAGTTTTCAGCAGATAACCTTTTGTGTACTGTTCTTTAATTGTTGTAATTTTGATGAGATGAAACTCAGTACAGTGAATTGTGCTGTAATGCACATGATGAATTCTAAAAATCACTGTGTTCTGCAAAAATCTTCAATAAAAAAGCCCCAGCACTCGAAAACTTCAGTAATGACATACTGAAAAACAAAGATAGGAACCAAATGCAGCACAGTGTTATGCATGTCGAATGGTTAAGAAATACACAAATGTGACCACAAATAATGGCGCTTTACCTCAGAGACGGCCTGAGGTGGGCATTGGAAGAGCTACAGCTGCGACTTACTACAAATCTTTGGAAAGACAGTCTACCAGAATTAGAAGGTGAGTTGTAAAGCCAGGTGTGGATGGGTGTGACTGAGCACTTGTGGTAAACTGAGGTCGCTGGTGATTGTGTGTGTGTGCGTGCGCACATGCGTGTGTATGTAGTGTGTGTGTGTTTTATACTCCCTTGCTGGCTATTGCTTTCCTCATTTCACCTATTCCTTCTCCTTAGACAAAATGATACATATGCAAATGTGAAATTTATGTTTTGCTCATTTTTCCCTAGTTTATCAGTCTCCTGAAACAAATTTGTATTTTCCAAGCAAATGCAGTATCAATAATGGCTCTAAAAGTCATTTAGAGAAGGAGAATTTATTTCCAACTTAATACCTTTTATACCTTTAAGTAATTGATAAGAATTATAGATAGCATCTAGGACACACAACTTCCCTCTTACCATCATAAATGATCCCAGTTTAGCATAGTAACTTTCAAATTTAAATAATTATTTTTGTTTATTAACTATTGATGATGGCTCATCATTTGGTTGACCTGAGTATATACATGAGTTTCAAGATTTTCTAACTGCTTTCTAAATTTTTACATTTTACAGCACTAAACCTGGCTGGAATTTCCTTAAATATATGAATATCTATAAATCTGAATGCTTTCATCCAGGTCTTCACAAATTCAATAAGCCAAACTTATTGAGACATGAACAATAAATGTAATGAGTGCACTCTAGTGTCAAAATCCAAATATATGGTATACTGTGAGGTTTTTGTACTCAATTTATCTCTAGTCCATGTTCTCCAACTCATAACATTGCATTGCATTGAGCCTGGCTTATGAGTTCATAATCTCAACCCTGTTTAGTCCATGGTGTAACCAAATTGTAGCTTTGGGGCAGTGGTATGTTGAGCTTAAAGACCACAAATGCTTTATAGGAAGTCAAACTCAAGAGTCCAAACCATATTCCCAGAAATGAGTCTCCTCAAGCTTCTGTCCATGCAGTGGGGCTCCTCTCACCTCTACCCTCAGACTGCTGCTCTGGGCCAGCTTGCTGTCTCCTCGCCCGTTTGAGAGTCCCAGAGATAAATAGGGTGCTTGCTCTCTACTTTCACAACTTGCAGCCTGAGATCACATTTTCTTTTTACCCGATCCACTGGAAGACTAAATAATCACTCAGCTCCTTCTTATCTCTCCCCAGAACAATTTTTTTGTGGTTAAAACTGATAACAGATCTCTGACATTTGTTCTGCATAGAATGAGTTTTTTCAAAAGAAAGAAAAAGATTATGACTAAGCGATTTCCTATGAAAAACAAGTTTTTGGTTTCCTGAAAAATCAGAGGCTTTAATAACCTTAAGTCCTACGTTCCCACAGTTAGCCATCTTGTCTCCAATTTGCCAGTGAACTTTCTAAGAACGAACACACACACACCTTCACCTGTTAGAAAACTAGGGCTGAACACTAATTGGAGCAGAAAGATTTTATTCCAAAACACTTGCAGAATTGGGAAAGAGACTTCGGTTTAAAATTGGTCTCTGGAAGATCCTGGGGGATTAACAGCCACGAAGTGGGGAGGTAGTCATTGGGTGAAAAATGAAGACGCATGACAGACAGTGTGGGCAGACTGGGATGATCAGATGCTAAGTGTGGGGATGAGGAGTCCTCAGATACCAAGGCTGGGAGGGACTGGCTCCAAACAGCAGGATGCTGCTAAACTGGCTGTGCGGGCCTGGCAGGGTTGAGGCCCCATAGACGAAGAGAGGATGCAAGTTTGGTCAAGGAGCATCTTCTCACTTCACTTTTGCCTGGCCCCTGGCATTGTTGGAAGCTTTGGTCCTGCCTACAGAGAGCAGGATGTTTGGACTGCTCAGCGCTTGGAATGCTCTAGTGAAATTGTGAAACGAAGCCCTAAATCTTACTTAGCTTGCGTTGAGAACTGAAAGAGCAGTGTAGACTACTTCAGTGTTTTGGTAGGACTCTTGTTTCCCCGTCACCACTGCATCACTAAAGCAGTATTGTTTTGTACACTTTCTGCCTTTTCTAATGTGGGTACTAGAAAATTGTATATGTGGCTCACATTCTGTTTATTTTGTCTCTTTGTGGTGCTGGGGATTGAACGCTCATGCCAGGCAAATGCCGTATCGCTCAGCTACGTGGCCAGTCCTCATATCCTATTTCTGATGGTGCTAGTGTAAGGCTTGACTGGAGTCCTAAAGAGAGTGTCTGACTTGGGGCAGACAGACCCTGGAGTGGTTCCCTGTGGTACTTCCCCCATGATGTCCATGCCTTTGTTTCAGCCACCCCCTCAGAGTGTGGGCAGGATGGTTGTGAACTTGCTGGTGACACACAGACTGTGGTGAGGGTAACAGTGTGTCGCTGTAGTGATTGTGACACAGAAGCCTTCATCTTGCTAACAGATGCAGCCTGGAGTCAGACTCTGGCCAAGCAGAGCTGCCAGAGAACCCAGGCCTGGCCTGCATCACACTCACAGCCTTGAAGAAGACCGGAGTCCTAGCTCACGGGGCCCGTGAGCTAATAAAATTCTGTTGTTTTAAGCCACCAATCATGTGGTAGTTGCAGCAAGAGACAGCATACAGGCTAGGAAGGAGGTATCCTGCAGAACTATGGAAGTCTAGCAGCATGACGTGAGTGTTCTAGTCCCTTGATCGCTGTTCCTTAGGTGCAAGTGGTTCTGAACAGCCTGCTTGCCCTTGTTTGGGGTTCACAGTCACAGAATAACTTGGTGATGCTTACTTGCTTCCTGTGTGGATCCACATTAGTTAGAAATCCAGGTCTTTCTGATTTTCGAAGGTGAATTTTGATGGTTTGTGGGACTTGAACTACCTGGATCCAGCCAGAGCGACATGGCTGAAGTTGGCTTTGTTCTGCTTGGAGGCCCATCGGTGTGGTTTCAGTTGAATGTTGTGTGAGGCTAATTGAACAGGTTTTGTCTCAGCCTGTGTCGAAAAAATTAATCAGCATGGCAGGTTGGTGTGCTCCTGGGAAAAAAACTAAATGCAAATGAGGGGTGAAAATTAGTGGAAGATAACTCCATAGTTTTTTCATGTTGGCGCACATCCTGCAGACAGGCATTAACTGCTGTTTCTGGGTTCTCTCTCAGGATATTTGTAAGGTAGAAGTAGCGTTTCTTGGAACAAGGAGCGGGTCTGCTCATGGCAACCTGGACGATTCAGTTAGTGCCTCTCTGGAGAAAAGGGTGGGTAGGTTTGCCATCAGAGAAGACTGGGGCTCTTTAAGCACGGGATCCTCTCTTGTCGCATAGTCCACTGAAAATGCAGGTGTCACCTGGCCACGCTCTCACCTCTTAGGTGCCTCTTGTGTCTTCAGTAAGCTTTCAGGGGCCGACACTGTTTAGCTTGGAATGTAAAGCCTCAGGCCCCTGGGGTCTTGGTGGTAATGCTGGGTAATTACAATAAAATCAACAAGTTGTTTACTATGGGGTATAAGTGAGTCCAACCATAATGAAACCTTTTCCAGAATAGTTTTGGATGACCGTGTGTTTTTTGTTTTGCTGGATAAAATTATTTCTAAAATACACAGTATCAGTAAGCAGATCTCCCCTTGAGTGAGGTTTTCAGAGACAATCACGATTTCACTTACTTCTGGGGCTCAGTTTTCTCATCTATCAGATGAGAGAATTGTGTGTTTTAAGGTCCCTTCCGGGGTTAGTACCTCTAGGTAGCATAAAAGTCCTTCAATTTGATCTGTTCAGCAAGCACTTACGTAGCTCCTACTGTTTAACAGGTGCCAGTCTAAGTGCTTTTCAAAGAACCCATTTAGATTAGGATGATGTTAATGCCCCCGTGTTACGCCTAAGGAAACTGGGACAAGAAAGGGTGGTAATTTGCCCAAGAGTGTTTGGATAACTCGCGCATAGGTAAAGTCTGTACTCTCTCCTCCCTGTTTTTGAGACAGGGTCCCCCTATGTAGTTCAGCCTGACCTTGAACTCACTGAATAGCCCAGGCTGGCCTCAACTTTGTGGCGATCATCCTGCCTCAGCCTCCTGAGTGCAGGGATTATGAGTTTGCATCACCATGCCAGGCTAAAATCTATACTTTTATGCACTGGGCCGTGCTCCCTGCCATCTCGTCATTGGACAGTTGATTGACTACTGTGTGAGCAGTGTCCTGAGAAGACTGCAGGCCACAGGGAAGAATAGAGCAGGTCCTTGTCCTCCAGGATCTTCGCACTTGTGAAGAATTTGTGCGTGCGTGTGTGTGTGTGTGTGCATGTGCCACACAGGACTT